GAATGAGGAGAAACGGTGGGTGAATGAGGAGAAAAGGTGGGTGACGTCCCAGGGGAATTCTCTTCAAAGCTGTTGATTCTGTGATGGTCTGAGGAGAAAAGGTGGGTGACGTCCCAGGGGAATTCTCTTCAAAGCTGTTGATTCTGTGATGGTCTGAAAACAATCAAATGATGGAGAAATTAAAGACAAAACTAAAAGTATTCACAGAAAATTTTGTTAGACATGATATAAGCTTTTCACTGCAGCTGGAGCTGTATCTCTGTGTGTATGACTACCATCTAAACACATGTACACACTAACCTATTTTTCTTTACTTTTACTGGTCATTCACAGAAAATGTGTTTTAAATCAATTCTTATAACATATTTTTAACTGGATATAGGTCCGGACTGTGGCTGAAACAATCCGATTAATCATGATTAATCGTTAAATAGAGTACAGAAAGTCTGAATCATGCTGACAGAACAACCCACTTAGGGCTGTAATTATTAATCAAAATTGTATACAGAAAAAAAAAAAAAAAAAAAAAAGGTAAAAACATTTTGTATTTAAGACAAAAATATGTTTCTGTCGAAATGCTCCATCAAGAAAATCTTCCTTTGGCTATCAAATTATTAATCAAAAGAATAATCAACAGGTTAATCAATTTGCATAACAATTGTTAGTTGCAGCCCCAGTCCAGACTTTGACTAGGCCATTTGCACACTTTAATTTGCTTTAATCCTAAGCGTTCCACTGGTAGCTGAACGTCTCTCCATTCTTGAGATTTTTCCAGCTTCTTGCAGGTTTTTATTCAGAGATCATCCTATATTCTAGCCTCGTGAGACCATCCTGATCTCGCGAGCTTTCAAGATTTCACATGTAATCAGTCTGGAGACTCTCCGTTGAAGAAAATTTGAAGCCGTTCACCAAACGAACGTCCAATCAGCGTTGGCTTTGATGCGGGTTGAGGTGTGACGCAACAAGAAGCGCGACAGTTCAGTCTAAAGAACATGGCGGCTTCAGCCGATGAAACTAGCGTTAGCGTGGCTATCGAACAAGTTTTATTGGAATTACAGAGTATTTCTTCACTGAAAGAAGAGCAAAACACTTTTCTCAGAGGAAAAGATGTTTTTGCTCTTCTCCCGACTGGTTTCGGCAAGAGTAGCCAGGCTGTTAGTACGTCATATTCTTCGTTGATCTGATTGGTTTATTTGGCCCGTCTATCACCAACATAGGCCAATCAGCTAACCAGTATTTTCGCCCCTTCCCAAAATTACTTCAACCGAAGGTTTCCAGATGGATATGCGGAGAAAATCCATCTGACAGAGTCAGGTTACCTATGTTCAGCTGCATTCTTAATTCCAATTATTGAGAAGATAAAAGATAAAACGTGACAGCAGCATGATGCTGCCTCCACCATGTTTGAATAAGGGCATAATATAAGGTTATACTGTATATAGTGTCTGTTTTCTGTGCTATGTTAAAAATGCTATGCAACAAAAAAACACTGGATCATCTGAACAGAACAACTTCCTTCACGTGTTTTCTCTGTGTGCTTGAGTGACTATGGAAATGTGTAAATGAGAGCTCTCTTCCTGTCATTTTTTCCACGGAGGATAGATTGGTTGAGTGTCTATCTCTAAAGCTCCTACGTTACATTAGACTTTTGTTAATGCTTTTTTTAATGATTTCACCCCATCAGCCCAAAAGGCTTCAGGGTAATGTCTTTGTTAGTTTCTTCTTTTTCTCCTTCCCCTTTCCGACGATGAAGTCAGCAACCAGTTCATCTGTTTAAAGTCTGGTATGTTGTTTTATAACCTAACTCAAATCAACAAATTTTCCACGAGCTCTTTAATAGTATTGTAGAATCTGAGGTGACTGGCTGGTACGTCAGACAAAATGGAAATAAATGAGCCTTTTCAGATTTCATGTTATGAAAAATACTTTTTAAAAAGCATGCATTATTTTCCTTCACTGCAGTCCCATCTGGCTTTGGCATAACACTCCCAAACTGATCCCTGTGGTTGTGACAAATTTTGATGAGGTTCAATGGATGTGAACGTTTAAGCAGCTGTTATCAGACTTACAGGTGGAGATGAGTTTAGGCTTTGACTGCGTCTCAGAAATCTGTGAGAGTAGGGCTCCATCTACAGGAAAGAACCAGGAAAAGCTCAAATTATCATTATTTAATACATGAGTCAAAGAAAACATTTTGCTGGGTAATGTATTCATATTATTGTCATAATTATTCAAGAAACAAAGTGAATACCAGACTAACTTGATGTATAATTTGTATAAAATAAGATATTTAAGGTAAGCTTGGTGGAGTTAAGCCATCTTAAGCTTTCTAAATGTGCAACAATGCAACATAAATTGGGTAAAAGCTCCTATAACACTCACCTGCATTCAGCCTAAAACTAGGTGTCCTGGTTAACTGGCTGTCATCATCCTTTGGTTCTGAATATGATGGCCGCTCAGTTACTGGAGCAGAATAAAGCCCATTAGAAACTTCATTCGCAACAACTCTTCCTTCTATTTCATCCTTATATTTTCTTCTTCTCTCCAAAGTGCTGTTGGGCTCCTGTCTTGCATCAAAGACGTCTGAGTCTGACACGCTCTTCTCCATGATAAGCTTTTCTTTCTCCTCCTTCTGAGCTCTGAAACTTTCCATCAGCTCCCGTTTTCGCTCCAGCACCCGTTTCTCCAGCTCTTTTTCCTGGTCTGTTTTAATGCAATATACCCCGTTTGTCTGCACCATGCTGTCCACCTGTTGATAGATGAAAACAGTTGCTGCAGGAATGAATAAAATAATAATAATTCCTTCCTGTATAACTGTTTTAGCTATTCATTTTAAAGAAATTTCTTAATTTAAGTTCAAAAGATAATATATAAATTAGTCCTGATGTATTATGTCAGAATAAAGGGAATGTTTTTCTCCCAGGGGATTAGCAAACCTATCATTAATCTAGTAAATCGAGGGAAAGGAACAGAGTGTTTAGAGGTACTGTTACATCCTGTAGATTTAGTTGGAATGTTTTTCTTAGATGATGATTCAAAATACATAGAATACACAATGTATAATTTAAATGATGTTTCAAAGTGATTAAGTTTTCAAAGTCAGACTTTAAGGCATTACGTCTGGAGTGAAACTACAAAGCTAGTTCAAAAGAAAGATTGACATCACAGGTTCTTGGACAAACTGATGACCCATTATATTGAGAGAGTCACTTCAGTTGGATCAGAAAATCTTACCTGTGCCGCACAAGAAAAGAAAAAAAAAAGAAAAAAAAAAAAGACACCCCTATCCAGTTTTTGGTATGAGCCACAGATTTCAGACAGCAGTTTCTGGTTGGATTAAAAAATGCCAACTCTGTACTTAACTACTGGCCAGAACTGATCCAAGTAATGACTGGTCTTCAGGATTATCCGAAATTTTAGATCCTATAGCCAGAATTTAAACATAAAGATGAAGATATTTTGGAACAAAATTACAAAGTTGCAACTGCAGTAACAAAATATCCTCCGACATGAGCTGAAACAGAGATTAAAAACATGTGACGAAACATGGATTGAAAAGATAGCCCAGAGTAAGAAGACTATGTGAAGTGTTTGCTCCCTTTCCACTAAGATTGAAAGACCAAACCCCAACCCAGGACCCAAACCAATATGGCTGAGTGTGCTATCCAACTAGAAAAATTTGCCATAATCCATACCTCCAACAATTAGGGGGAAATGCTTTCAGTGTTAAAAATCTGGCAGCGCAGAAACAACTTTGAAGACTTTTTCAATGGGATTGATTAAGAGTAACATCATGTAAAACAGTTAGGATAATGGAAAATGCATCTTAATGGAAAGTAGAACGTCTGGTGTATACTAGATGCTCAGTAGAAGGCCTTATAGAATGTGTTTTTTCCAAAGTACTCTGAGACTAACGGTTGCTGGCAGGTGTCAGCTGTAGGAGAAAACTTAAAAAGCAAACATGTTCCAGAGGCTGAGGAGAAGCCTCTGAGGAAGGAGTGCTGGATTTCAATTAGAGATGCATCGATCCAATACCTGGATCAGATATCGGTGATGTGACATCAAAGATCAAATCCAGTGCACTATACAAGGAACACTAATTTCTTTTTTTTATACTGCTGTTTATTCATTAAGGGCGACAGTGGCGTCGGATGTAGGAGTTTGCCCTGAAATCGAAGGATTTCATTGTCGTTGTGTCCTTGGGCAAGACACTTCACCTGCATTGTCTACTGATGGTAGTCAGAGGGCCCGGTGGCGCCAGTGTACGGCAGCCCTGCTTCTGTCAGTGAGCCCCAGGGCAGCTGTGGCTACAAGGTAGCTTGCCACCATCAGTGTGTGAGTGTGTGCGTGAATGGGTGAATGTAGTCGTTTTGGTCAAGTCTCCTGACTTGAAAATGCGCTATACAAGTACAGGCCATTTACAATTCACCATTAACAAAAATTATACATTTATATCTGTCTTAATGTCTTACCTTTTAATAACATGGTTATTAAACTATTGACTATGGTTCATTCATTCAACAGTTGAATCGGATCATATTGATACGGTTGATGCACTAAACCCAGATATTGGTATCAGACTGGATCGGATCTGATCTTCATAGGAGGGATGGATGAAGCTAATGTCACCTTGTTTCAAAAAGATGCATGAATTGATTAAAAAAAACAGTCCTGGCCCAAATCCTGGTTACAAATATGAACCCTGAGCATTGGGTTCAATGTAATCAAAGAACTGGCCCATGGAGTAGCGACAGAATCACTCCACATGCCTCCTTAAGTGCAACAT